GACACCAGTGTTGTGGTGCTTTTCTTTTCTTTTTCAATGGTTTTTTTTTGCTATTTACAGCCTGCCACGGACCAAAGTCTGTAGGGAAAGGAAGAAATGATGAGTCAGTGATTAACCCGCCAGAGCAGAGGGTGAATCACTGCCGTCTTATTGCTACTTGTGCTGTAATTCAGCGTTTACTGTTTAAATGCCCTGGTTTTAACTGCTCTCAAACTGCCTAGGATACTGCTTTCGGCACTAATAGGGTGATGTATTAAACAAGCGAACAAATACTGTAAGGAAGGAAGAGCTAACCTTTCACCCGGAGATAGTGGCCCCCAAAGCGGTACGCCTCGAAGTGGAGCAAAAGAGGGGTGTTGGACTGATCCAGGTAAACATCCACTTTTGACAGTTCGATCCCTTTCCTCTCAAAGATGGGAAGCAGCACTTCACTGGATTTGGGGGTGGGGGGAAGCAGAGGAAGAAAAACAGACTTTATTCATCCACAGGTGCTTAGATTATCATAGATGGCCTCAAACCCACACATTCCATTGGCTTATTTCCCACCCCAGTTCAAAAAGTCAGGCACTCAGTTGCGGGGGAGAGATCAGCTAGTTCCACAGTACTCAGGAGTAGGTCTTTTGCAAAGCTAATGGATCTCAATTGCTCATTGAAAACCAAACAGATCCTACACTGGTTGTTGTGGGTTTTTTGGGCTCTTTGGCCGTGTTCTGCAGGTTGTTCTTCCTAACGTTTTGCCAGTCTCTGTGGTCTCTGTGTACGGCCAAAGAGCCCAAAAAACCCACAACAACCATTAGATCCCGGCCGTGAAAGACTTCGCAGATCCTACACCCTTTGTGTTAGAAAAAGGAGAGCTCACAATGATATATTGTGGCTGGGAATTCACCCTGCATTCCCTTCTCCTCCAAAAACTTGTGGGCACCACAGATAAGCTCAGAGAGAACAGTCTGACAAGGGTGGGAGATCATCCTGCTAATCAAAAAGTACACATTACATTGGCATATATTACCATCACATTATTTTACAGAGTACTCTTTTCTGGGCAGAATAATTTTTCAAGGCATTCAAGAGTCAACGAGACAGCCATAAATTGCTTGGGATCCCTGCACTGAGCAAGGGGGTTGAACTCCATGGCATTAGATCCAGCTCTACGATTTTATGATTCAAACTGGCACAACTAAATGACAGTGAGAGGCTTAGAAGGGGCAGCAGGCCTGGCAGAAGGATATGGTTACAGCTCCTGACTCAATAAAGCACCAGAAGCTACGGCACTCCTGTGTACAGGGACGGACTCTCCGAGGCACACGGCGCAGGAAAGCAAGGATTCCACCTTTTATTTTGTGTGTGCAACACGGCTTCTGAAGAGAAGCTGTCCCCCTAGGCAGTGAAAATTCGGGATTTCGACAGCCATTCTCTGGTACCTGGGTGGAATTCGGCGTCCACCTGGATCTCACTGGGCGTTGATGGCTTGGAATTTTTGAATTCATTGTCCCCCCCCCCCCCCCGAAGGTTTTCTAACCCCCATATTTCCCCAGTTTCATCCCTCCTCTTACCCCAGCGACTTCTTCTTCATGGCCGGGACAATCTCCGTCTCAATGTCCACGTTCAGGTCAAACTTCAAGGTGAAGCATTCTTTGCTCGGGTCCTGGTGGAAGGAAGAGAGGTGCCTGAGCAAGGAGGCATTGCCCCCCCTCCACGGCCGTGCCATAGTCCCCCACGTCCGCCTGTGCCCGAGTGACTGGTTCCACTAGAACCTAGGCACAAGGACAAGGAGCTCCTTGGCAGGAACCTCCACTCTGTTTTCCCGGAAAGATGGCGCCCTGAGCACGTCTGGCCACGACCTTCTCCGGACACGTGTTTTCCAAAAAGGGAGAGGCCGGCTCTGGCGCATGGCACTCACGGCACATGCTTGCACTTCCACGCTGCCTGTGCAAAGGCGCCGTGGGCAATCAGAGAAGAGGGCACCCCGATCGGTGGGAAACCCTTTCTTGGCATGATCCAGATATAATGCTCTTAACCGGCCTTATAAAACTGAACTACTCTCAAAAACACTTTGCGTTATGGCACAAAGCACTTACAAAATAGATCTTTCTTGGTGGAAAACACACGCAAGCTGCTCTCTAGGGGGATGTTTCAGCACCGCTGGGGAGGCTACCATCATCCGCACCCCGAAATGGAGGCAACCTCCATCTCTCCCTTACCACCACCCCCGCCCGTCATGTTCGTCCAACGAAATTCGGGAGGCCAGGTCCCAGTCCTGGCAGGGCCGTGGGATCGAAACGTGATGGAGGTAAGAAAACTCTGCTTCTTACATCGGTGTGTCTCCTCCGGGCTTTCTTCTTAGGAAGCTTCAAGGCCGAGATTTTCTTGTCCCTGGAAGAAGCAAACAAGTAGACACACAAGGGTTTAAAAGGAAGCGTTATTCACCCACCCACCCGCTCCAGCAAATACTGTACACGCTTCTCCCTAGTCCTACCGGGCAGCAAAAGATTCACCCTCCCACCCCAAAGCAGAAGGATCCCAGCCCAGCAGTTCCCAGCGGGTTCAAATCCTTTTGCAGGTTTTCCATCAAGCAACCCAGAACTGCAGCGTCGTACGGTTGAAAGGGATCCCGAAGGGTTCATTTCGTCCAACCCCGGGTGACACAGAAAAATGGGCAGCTCCAGCCTCTTGATCAATGGGTCCCCCCAAAAAAAATTATTTTTAAGAACTTCCAACAGAGGAAAGGCTGATGCTCTCCGAGGTGGTTCGTTCCATAGTCAAGCCATCAAGACCTTCTTCCTAAGGTTTAGTCAGAATCTCCTTCCTTCTAATTTCAATCCACTGTTTCCCTCTGGAGTTGCAAAAATGAGCTTGCGCCATCTTCTAGGGGGCAACCCTTCAGTCATCTGAAGAGCACTATCCGACTGGGGGCAGGCAATGCCAATATTTTAGCCGCAATGAATCCACTCTAGCTTTTGTCTGAACTTTAGAAGAGCTGATCTTCCCGGTGCAATATTCCATCTTTCAAATAGGCTGAGCATCTTGGAGGCTTCCCTTAAAGCCCGGAGGAAACCGTTGAGACTATCCACAGCTCCCTGCAATATTCAAGCCACCAGACTCCCCTGGACTATCCTGTCACCCCTGAACAGAATTGGGTGTTGTGGCACTTAAGAGACGGCACCAGACCTGACTGGGTGAAAGGGGTTATGGGTGTGACTTGTCTCCCATCTGAGAACAACACCCTGCATTCAGAAAACTAGCTCCTCAAGGCTAGTTACCGGCAAAATCAAAGTTTTCTAGGGGAGTGGCACTTCCCTGTTTGAAACACCTCCTGCTCCACCTCCCTTTTCCCGTACTCACCCTTTCCCATCATTCAGCCCTTCCTCTTCCTCCTCCATGTCCGAGGCCGGGCTGGTGCGAGGAGGGCAAGACCGGGTGGAGACATTCCGGGCTAAGATCGAACCTGGGAAACAGAAGCAGCCTAGTCATAACAGAGCCTTTTGGGGAGGTCCGCTAAAGCTGGGGCTCCCAGCTCTAGTTACATAGGTCCTCCTTCATCCCACACAGCTGCCCCCAACGTCCAATGTGGGATTGTCAGACAAACAATTAATGCAACTGCTGGTTAAGGTAGGCCACTGGACTGCCCCCAACGTCCAATGTGGGATTGTCAGGTCCTCTTTCTTTTCATATGAATACCAGACAATGAATGGAGAATCCAGGCCACCTGAAGACAAACTATCAATGCAAGTGCTAGTTAAGGTAGGCCACTAGATAACAGGGTGGAACAGGGCTAAATATGGCCCTCTGGTCTCCAGAAGGCAAGGTCCCTGTCTCCGTAATACTAATGTTTAGCAATTTTGCAGGTTTTCTATGAGTTCCTTCCAGATTTTGAACATCAGAACTTCTCTGCTGAAGCTTAGGGCTGAAAAATACATTGTAGAAAACCCGTCAATAGAACAGAAAATCCCTTAACTGCTGAAAGCATCTGATTCTCACAGCAGGAGCATTTCTTGCCGCCTGCAGCTTCGCTTACTTTATGACTGATCTTTAGGACGGCTTTCCTGTGTGAATGTTCAGAAACAAAGCACTGCCTGAATGATGTCTCTAGAACACCAGGGGTAATTCAGCTGAAATGAGGGTTCCTCAGCAATGCATTGCCTAGTCCTTAAGTCCATGGGGCTTCAAGCTCTTACATACTGTCATTTTTGGCCCAGTCTCTCTCATCTTTGACCCCACCAACCTCTCAAACGTGGCCTCAGAGGAACTTTTCTGAAATTACATTTGGTCCATGGTGGGCTGGAAAAAGTACAGCCCCTCCCTGCCCTGTGGTTCTTGGCCCTCCTCACCTTGCGGGGGCAGGTCAAAGCGGATGTGGCGGTCAAAGTGCATGGTGCTGTGGAAGCGTCCGTCACACCCCTCACACAGATGAAGGGGGTTGCCCTGGTTCGCCTGCTGGCACTCGGCGTGGTGGCATACCTGGTTGAAACAGAAATCAGGGGATGGAGGGTGAGAGACCCATGGAGGAGAACCCAAACCAAACTGAGAGGCAGTTCACAGCATTAAGCCCATTGGGGAGAAATTTAAGAGCGGCAGCTTCTTGCAGCAGAGAGGGAGAGAATCGTGACACTTTATAGAAGCCGCTTCTTCTGCCCAGCTGCACGTGGGGCAGAATCCGTGCCCTCCGTGGGACCTGAGCCCCCGACCTGAAAACCCAGGAGAAAGGGAGAGACAAAGCGAGGCCAAGCAGCCTTAGTTTACAGCTGAGTTTTCAGACGTGTACAGCTCCACACCCGGTGAGATTCTCATCCTCTGCTCAGCTGTGAGACGCCAGATCCCCAAAAGAGCCATGTGTCTTGGGATTCTGCCCACATTGTATGGACACTGAGAGCCTGACAGCCAAAGCGGCTTCCCCTCCTGGCTGGTGCTCAGTATTTTTCCATGCCCCCCCCAAAGCTAAAACGCCCATGTGATGGCTCATATAAATAAATCCATTCCTCCGAAGTTGCATATTTAGTTTTGTGAACGGGAATCTTCCTTCGCTGTGTCGCTTGGGGGGGGGCAAGCTTAATGTTTACAGTTGTTACACAAATAAAGGAATTTTTCACAGGAGTTTCCAGCAATAAACAGATGTATATTCTCCTATAAAATATAGAGTTCAAAGAAGTGAAGGAAATTTCCCTTAGGCTTCCTTTTAAAAGAGTGTGATTTTGGATTCGAGAGGTAAAGAGGGAATGATGTTTTATGATTACAGTGCCAAAAGTTTCTGAAGTTGTCTTATAATAACAATAATAATTAACTGGGGGGAAAAACAGGCATCTATTAATCAGAGGACTTTTCATTAGATGGTAAGTTTTAAACTCAGTTTCTCTAAATGCCACCTGGCTGCAGTGAGGAAGACCAGAGAATCAGGCCCATGCCACTGATTGCCCCCAAGTGATGATAGCTTCCATCATCTGTTACCAGGCCAGTTGAAGAAGGCTGGAATAATACAGGGGATAATGCTTCCGAATGATCTCCTCCCTGCCGTGTGAAAATCTCCCTGCGTGAAGAGACTAGCAAGACAGGAAAGTCTAAGGTTAGGAGCTGAAGCACTAGATTTCTATCTGCAAGGACATGAGGAAACTGAACGCTTCCAAATGGCACAGGAAGGAGGGTTGCTGGTTGCAATGCATCGCCACATTTTGACGGAGAAGGAGGATGCCTATTTTAAACTGTAAACCCTCAAACAAAGGACTGGCCATGTCTGGCCCAGTGACGTTGTGCTAACTCTTCCGCCCAGGCACGTCCTCCATGGAAAGTCCAGAAATACATACAGCTAAGATGATTCATTGAAACTGACCAATTCTACTACGCCTCCCGTTTGCAAAGCAAACAGATTTTAGTTCCTCATTCAAGACCAAATATTTTCCTTTACAACAGGCATAGCTGACCACCGCGTAGTGTCTCTTAAGCAAATCTGTTCCCTCTCGAAGCGAATGCAAGGGAGCAGGCTGAAACCCAAGCGTTCTGCACATCAGGGTGCTCGGGAAATGAAAATCAACAGGCAAACCCACCGAGAGAAGCTAGTCTTGGTCCCCTTACGCCAGAGCGAGGCCCGAGTTCATTATCACGCTAAGCGGGGGATGCTATCGTCCCTTCTTGCTTACCTGCCTGGTCTGCAACACCATCGGCCGCCCCCGTAAAGCGGGCCCTTGCGCATCACGGGGCAAGGCCAGCCCAGCCCTGTAGAGACAGAGCAACCAATACTGAACATCAAAACTATGCACTCGACGGGCGAGAGGCTCTATTTGGGGAACAGCTCCTTTCCTTTTAGCGCTTCTGTGTCAAATCCAGCCTCTTGGTTCCCTTCCTCTTCATCCTGCTGCATGGAGTGCTCCCCGGCTTTCCACCGCCCGGCTGCCTTGTTGATCCAGAAGCCGAGATGCGACGCTCCGATCTGCTGCTAGGTCCGCACGAATCTTCAGAAAAACGGGCTGCGTGCATCTAACGTGTCCCATCCAAAGGTCCCGGGGAGAGATCCCCCCACTTGTGCTGAGCGAGGTCCCCACCATGAGGCTCAGAGGAGAGCCCACGCAAGACCGCTGGGGCACCCCTTGTGCAGGAGAGGAAGCCGGCGTCTGCAGCAGAACAATGCGCTGGCCGTCATCACATTTCCTCCCATTGTGCCCAATGGCCCTGCTCGGCTGGGGCTGAAGGCAGACGGCCAGCGTCCCCTGCACCAAGGAGTTATTTTTAAATGCACAGACATCCCAGTTTAGACTGGGGAGGGGAAGGGGTGGTTGCTGCCACCGGTTGCCCTCTGGCCCTTGAGGCTGCCCAGAACAATGCCCATTGCTTGCCACCCGAATCGTTGTCTCGGCTCTGCCTAAAGGAGGCTGCAGTGGAAAGTCCGGCTCCCATGCCAGGACCGGCAGCAGCTCGAACCCACAGATCTCGCTCATCCGGGCCGCGTCTGAGCCGGATTAAGGGGGACTCACTGGAACGGCACCCAGGACTTTAAACACTCCAATCCATACCCTGAGAGATCTGGTCGAAGTTTCCATTCAAGATAACTCACAGAGGGGCTTACGTCCTCAAGGATGTGCTGGGTGCGATGGGGCAGAGGTGAGGCATTCGTCTCCGCTGTGGTTTGCAACTGGCTCACTTTTCTGATTGGTTCTCACCAAGGAAACACGGTCTTCTTTTGCATCCAGGATCTGAACAAGCTACAAGGATGTGTTAGTTATCTGGCTGATGACATGGATGGGTGGGTGGGTGGACGTGCCTCAGGAAGAGTCTGAGTCAAATGCTGGCCCCAAGTGAGCCTAACTGTTCTCCAAGGACTGTCGTGGGCATGGAAGTGTCTCATGCAAGATGCCTTTGGCTGCTTGCAAAAGGGCGGGTTACAGGTCAAGAGGATTCATAACATGCTAAGTCCAGCAGGGGGCAGTGCAATGCAGCTGACCCAAGTTACTTCTACAAGACGTGGAACGGATATTAAAGCATATTCACCATTAGCCACGTCCCGTTTTGGCTCTGAAATTGAGAAGGTGACATGGTGAATGCTGCATTCCTTCTCTTATCTGGAGCGTGAAACTTTGCTTTGCCAACTGAAACGTGTGTGTGTGTGTGGGGGGGGCTCCAGGCCTCTCGGTGTGCCAGAATCTTGAACAGAAAACCATGTACCCCGGCAGGGTCCGCCATTGGGTGGCCTTTGCCGAGTCTGGTCCGCTTCAAATCTCACACGATGCCAGTTCCGGAGAGCAAAAGGATGCTCCTTGGAGGGCCAGGTAAGGCTTGACAGGAGAATCCTCCTTTTCTTCAGCAATCGATGTTTGCTACATAATTTCACCCACCTTTTCAGGCTACATCCAGCTTCCCAACCCATCGAGGGCCCTTCCGGATGGGTCTGACTACAGCCTCCATCACCCCTCATTGACTCAGGATGATGGGCATTTTAGTCCACTCCTTCGGAGGAGGCACCAAGCTGCAGTGGGGGTGGGCCGGGGAGTCCTGCCACGGCGGCCGTTTTGACATCCGCCGGCTTCCAAGTTTCGGTTCCTGGGTTTCCCCCCAAACATAACCTGGAACGCACCTTTCCTCTGCGAAGAGCGAAGCTCAGCGCCGGGATGAAAAACGTCGCTCTGACATTTGCGAGCCGGTTGCAACATGCCAGGACTTGGCCCCGTGGCGCAGGCTGCTTTCTGCCCAACATGATGTCACCCTTCCGGGGTCAAAAGGGGCTGCCGCGTCTGGCAGAGGCGCTCGGAGGAGTCTCTCAGGCAGACAACGCCGCTCACAAAACATTCACACACACCCCCAGAGCCGCAATGGTGCAATTTTATTTCTGCTCCGGCATCTGTGAACCAGCGGCTTGTAAGGTTTTTCTCCAGTTTAATTCGCCCCTGAAAACTTTTTTTAAAAGGCTGCAAAGACTGCCCATGTCACACGGCCTTGCCCGTCACCCGCTGCTGCAAAGACGAGGGTGGCCGCTTGGCTCCTTTTAGGGAGGCCAGTCCTTCCTCTGTCCAAGGACAGCCGGCTTTGAAAAAATTGCTCCTCGCTGGAAAGCCTGGCCAGTCAAAAACAAAAGCGAAGGGAAACTGGGGAGCGGAAGGTGCCCATCGTCCACAGTGAGCCACCTCCGGGCAGCAGGCAGAGCTAATGGCAGCACCTGGGTCACCATCCTTCCAATGAGTTAAACCATTTCTAGTTTCCCTCTGGGCCTGTCAATGAGCTTCTGCAGTTATTATTTTTTGAAATCCCTTCTCTCTCTTGCGATGCTGTTTGGCCGGTGGGAAAAAGTCACCCAACCACCCCCGCCACCATCTCCTCTGGCGCACTCAGGGAGCCCAAAGCTGGCTTCTTATCCCCCTGTCTGTTGGCCGGCTAGCCAGTCGGTTGGTCTGCCCGGTGGATGCAAGAGGGTCCTTGATGCCAGGCGTCTCTGCCCTCTCTTCCCTACCTCCCGGTGTGTGTGTGTGTGTGTCCATCCCTGGGCCAACCACCTGCAGGGCAACCTCCTGGCGTTGCTGCTGGAAGCGGGCGCGCAAATAGGGGTGGCCTCCTGTGAGCGGTGGCATTCTCCATGATGGGAGCTGAGCCAGAAAGCCGGCAGGGAGGAGGGACCGGGGTGGTGGTGGTGGGAAACAAAGGAAGCAGAAGGCAAAGAGAAGCCGAGCCAGGCCAGAAGAGATCTGGTGGGGAGGGTAGAAAACCAGCAGAGGGCTGGTCTGTTCGGCCAAGGGTGGGAGAGGGGACCGATTTGGCCCTGATCCTCCACCAGGAGAGCAGCAAAGAGGTGGAGGGGAAGGAAGGAAGGAAGGAAGGAAGGAAGGAAGGAAGAAGAGGAAAAGGAAAAGACAAGTTAACATAAACCTTCAAAACTGGATATTTAATGCTGAATATAATACAGATGGGGTCACGAGGAAGGAAGGAAGGAAGGAGAGAGAGATAGGGAGAAGGAAGGAAGGAAAACAGGACTGGCAGCTGCTGCC